AGGATACGTACCGAAGCCCACACACGGGCAGATGGGAGCCTGCGACAGCATGACTGGGCCCCCCCTACTTGTTACTTTCTCTGACAGGCAGCAGAGTCCCACTAGACTGGCATTGGCAGCATAAAACATGTGACTGGGCACTACCTCGCAATGGATCACACCTAAAGCCACCGCTGTGTGAGGCACCTACGGGCCAGAGGGAGAACGGTCAGGTAATTATTAACACCTTATTTCTCAGCTGTTTAATCCACAAACAAACAGGAATGTAAAAACAACAATTTGTTTCTTTTCTAACTGCAGCTTCATATTTAGAGTCGTCTTTCATCGAACTCAGCAGCGAATAAGCACATTTCCCGAACAGTCTATTTCTTTAAATGTTGGGACAAGCAGATACAGAATTTGTGATTTAAAAACCATGTGTTGTTGTTATTGTTTACGTGTTGCAAGGTTTTTTACCTGCTAATAATACCGCAAATCACATGCCTCAAAGTAAAATTTTAATCCTATCACGAAGAAAACGTGCAGCATCGTGACTGTCACGTACCTGGTACGGGGTGAGGCTGTGTAGAGGTCTAACTGGTCCAGGGTCATCAGACTGCAGCTGACTCAGGTAGGCCAGCAGTGACAGCTCCCTGTGCTCATTAGTGCGCTGGTATCTCCTGTCACACACAATGCACACACAGAAAATGATGCAACATATTCAAAGATTTCAGACGTTAAAGCCAGCACAGAGCGACAGCGGCGTACTTACGCTGTCCCCTGGCGCCCCACTCCTTGAAACTCTGATTGTACAATAAGGTGAGTGTAACTTCTGGGGGGACTGTGGCTCTCTGTGAACTCGTCCAGAGCGGTCTGGGCGGGTGGGTGCGTCTGGCAGCCGTGTGCTGTCCTCAGAAACTCCGGAGTGAGGGCGGGACACTGGATGATGCCGCTGTGACCGAGCTGGACCACATGTGAGACCGGGAAGAAGCGGATCATGTCCACTAGCAGCTTAAATCCGAACCCTGTGGACGGCCCAGACAAGCACATGTTCAGACACTGTTCACAGTTAGTATACAGTTCTTTATATTCTTCCACAGCACGGATGGTAGCCTGAGCTGACCTTTGACCCATCCCATGGTGTTGATAATGACGGGAGTCTCTCTGCTCTGGGAGCGTCTACGCCACAGGGACTTCAGGGATTCCAGGTAGCGCTCTAAGTCCGCCTCGCATGACGACTGACCGTAGTAGATCATGTGCTCTGGTGTGCACTGATGTGTGAAAGGAGGACCTGAAAAATAACTCAACATTAGTCTGCTAATCCATTCTTACACAAATAGTACAGCGATCACACGTGGAAAAAAACTGTTCAGATAAATATGAAAGAAACACTTCAGCATTCTGGGAAATAAGATTATTTGCTTGCTTTGCTTATTTGTCTGTCCAGTAAATATGAAAGAACGATCCGGCACATAACACCATAAACAAACACTGTAAAGTAAATATTAGATAAACAAATAGGTTCATTAGTGACCTTTATAAAAGCTGGATGTTGTGGTTGCACAAAGCTAGGTAGCTGTTTACCCTCGCGTCTCGGCAAGAAAGAGAATGAGCGTATTTCCCAAAATGTTGAACTATTCCTTTAACATGTAATACTTTTATTAATACCTACTAGAAGGCTGCTAGAGAGTTAAGAATGATTTAACAATGCAATAAATGCACCGTAATCACAAAGACTAAAAGAAATCTATGGAATCAAGTCAAAAAAAAGATAAATAATATTAAACAATAACATGTATAAGAGGTCATGGGAAGTAACAAGAGGATAAAAACATACCCAGAAGTGGTTCTCTGACAGTCGACAAAGACAGGCACCCAGCAGGAGTGAACTCTGTTTGACCGAGGTCACCTTCCAAATAATCTACGCTAGTTGTGCTACAGATACACACACACACAAATACACACACTTAGTTTCCTGCCAAAAATATTACTATCATACTCAAGATGAACTCTAAGTGACCTCTATAGGAAGGTTACATCAACTGATGATACAGTACTGTACACAGGGATCATAACAATATGCAAGTACCAACTACACATACAAATCTAGCCTATAAATATAAAAATACGACAATATATCAGTATAAATATTTAAATATACGAAGGAGAACTTACTGATTTAGTAAGGTATTGATGAGGGTGCGGATAAATGTTGACTTGCCCACATTCTTGGTGCCACATACAAAGATAACTGCACAACCATCCATGTCACCTATGAATCAAACACATGTGTCCAGTAATTTGCCATCAAATGTGAACCATTAGAACGGGAATACATAACACTGCTGTCTTCAGTAGCGTGGTGTTTCTCTGTGTCTCTGGCTACATCAGTGCTGGATCTTTACATTTATGCCATTGAGGTCTTAATTAATGACCATTGTGAGCACAATGGACGCTTGCTCTTGCTTCTGGAGTGAAGTGAAATTAAAAGAAATTAAATTAAGTTAAGTGAGGAGAAATTACAAGAAACAAGTGAGAGAGAGATGCAACAGAAGGTAACTGGCGAGATCAGTGGGATCCCAGTTTCTTATTTTTATTATTTAACAATATTGGACACTGAATTCTGCTGCCTATTGTATCATGTCTGGCAGTACACACATAAAGTTAAGTTAGGACTCTAATATGATTTCGAGTTGCTCACACACTTTCTGAGAAATGCATTATGCTGATCTTAATCCGGAGAATAAAATGTGTGTAATTTCTCCCTGTGCATTTAACCTTTTGCAGACGTGAGACCGACGTGTTAAATCGCCATTACGCAACGTGGGTGAACGTCTACAAGGAGCTTACCTCTGCAGGCGCTGACCATCGCGTTGAGAGCATCTCTATAGCTCGGTGACATATTCAGGCCGTCGATGGTGCTGACCAGGGGAATCATACCCAAACCATTCAGAGGAGTGTCAAGAACAGCCGACATGAGTTCACTCTGAAAACAAGCACAGAGGAGAAGAACATTTACCTATACGTGAATTATACTCACCTTGTGATAAGGTGAATACTGACAGTAGCGTAATGTACAAATATCAGTCAATTTACCATCGGGGGGCTGAACAGTTCACTGAGATATGCGAAGCTCGACAGAAACCGTGTCAGAGGCGTCTCCATGGGCTCCAGTAGGATGACGGATGAGTTTGGCATAATCCTTTTCAGCAACCTTTTCCGTGACGCTGCGAAATGCAAATTCAAAACGGTTTAAGGACAGAAAAATGAAGTGCGTACAATAATACAACCTCAACTGACACTAACTATACAATACACAACAGCAGGTGAGCAGCCTGTGCGTTTACCTGCGGACAGATACTTTCGGAGGATGGATGCGGCCTCAGTTTTGTCGTCTCTGGTGTGACCAGAGCTGTCCAGTGCTCTGATGGTCAGGGGACAATGTGAGGCTGGGGAGAAGAGCGGATACGACTCCTGGCCTTCTTCAATGGTGAAGCCCATCACCTCTACCCGACCGTACAGACAGGTCAAAAAGCACTTCCCGCGGAAACACAGGGTCTGCAGGAGAATCACGTAACGCTCGGTCAAAAGAAACGGGAGTAAAACTGACAGACCTTTACCAAAATATCCCAAAGCATACCTGATTCTTCTGCATGACAAGTACTGCGTGATTCTGCCGATCGTCTCTCTCCGCACAGTGATGCAGAGACTGTCCCTCCAGTCTATCTGGCCTCGCGTCTTCCTTGTCACCCGAGGTCTCCGTGCCATTCCCGTGGATGGACTGGGAATACTCCTTCCACTCCTGTGAGTCGTTTGACTCGTTGTCCATCGCAAACACTGAGCCTCCATTAGCCTGTGTGTGACACTTCTTGGCTCCAGACTGAGGAGGGTTTTTCTTGGAGTCGGACACAGCCTTTGCCTTCTTCTTCAGCCTCTTGACGCTGGGTTTCTTCTTCACACACGCCTGGTGCTCCTTCGCCACCCTGGCCATGACAGGGCTGGAGCTGAGCTCTGAGGGAGTGATGGGGGGCCTGCACCGTTTGCCCCTCACATCCTTCCACTTCTGAGATTTAGCCTGGCCCTTCACCTGCGTGGGTTTGCTCACCTTCATGGTTCTGTGATCAGCAGTGACTCAGGTGGGGTGCAGATGAGAAAAACAAACAAAAAAACCAGGGGGGAGCCTGCAAAGGAGAGATGCAAGACAATTAGCACCTGAAAGGGGGAGCCATGCTGTCAGTGCCCCCGCCCCCCCCCCGCAGCTAAACG